GTATTTAGGCTAATCTTCACACTCGTGGGAGATCGTAATCCCCCAAAAAAGTATTAGAGGATGGAGAATCTAGGGTGAAATGTTCTCTAAGAAAAAAAGAAAAAAATTTTGGAGATGAATTTTGTATTGATTTCTTCAAGCGGATCATCCAAAGCGACTTTTAATTTATCTAGTTATTATGATCTCATGTACCTATTTAAAAATATTATTTCTTGGTCTGAAAAACTTCAATGATGCATACCAATTTCACCCAAAAACTGAACTCTAATTAGGTTAGAAGTTGCATTTCTCGTAAAGCTTTGTCTTATCAATGTATCAAGATCGTTTTATCTATAAATAATCCGCATTAACTCAAATTCAAATATCCTAAATGGATATGACATGAAATTTCCACACTGACCGAATACTCTCAAAAATGAAGACAGTTGTCATATATATCGACCGATTATAATTTATTCGAGTTTAGAGATGTCAATCAATGATCATTCGAAGCATAATTAAGTGAAAAGAAGAACAAAGTGTGATCTCAGAATAGGTCATTACATTTTACATTGTTCATGGATCACAGTTAATCTTGCCACAATCTCACATTGACCACTCTTTACTAGCTAGCTGGTTAAACCAAACATAACCATAATCATTTTTGTAGACTCGGGTATGCAATATTATTCCAAAACATGTATTCTCACCCTCCCAAAATTATTGTTCAATTTAGATTTTTATTTTTACTAGAAGTTAAACCAAAAGTAAAAATCTAAACTGGGCAGAACTAAATACTTTAAACAATTACTGGCTTTATAGGATTTTTAAGGTTCCGACCCACTCATTCAGGTACTTCAGCTTGCGGGAACTCGGCAATTAACGATGTCGAGGCGTGAATGTGAATAAAGTTATCTTAATTTCACTAGCAAAACTGTTTAGTACAACATGAAATGAATGTGGCAGAAATCTTATTTGATGCTCAAAACCTACCATGCATGTGAAGTTGCCTGATACGCAAAGATATGCGCAATGGAAGTTTGTAACCAAAAATATTAATGCCACCAATATCTCAACCAACTGATGCAACTGAGCTTGATTATAACTCAGCTCCGCGTAGATTATTTCTTGATCACTTATAGCTTAAGAAGGTAAGATTAAGTCAGGCAAAAAACGATTTATGGCTTCAACATCTAATGAATACGGCGTGAAACCTAGCTAAAATTTTGAACGATTTTTATCATCCGATTTTTTTAATTTATGTTGTTGAACTAATTTAGTTTAATAGTGAGAGTAAACTGGTAACATATTAGGATCGAAATACTATTTTCGAGAAAGAATGAAACTATAACATCTAGAAACGAGAAGAGGGTTTCAGTCTTTCAGACATGCACACACTAGTTAGTTACCTAGAACATAGGTCACTCAAAATCAATATTATTATAATTCTTATGGTACATATGTACTTTATTATGGTCCAATCTTTGGTAAGTTGCATTGGCAATGTAGGTATGAATTAATGAAATGCTTATTTATTGTTTTGACTAAAAGAAACAAAAGCGAATGCAAAGAGAAGCAGAGGCCACAAGTTCAGGATTGAGATCCATTCTTCCAAATCGATCTCCCATGGAAATGATTAGGATGGTGAGTTAGCTTGGAACTCTTTATAGTGGCATTAATGTCATGAAAAATGATTGAAGCTTGTTGTTCGTGGCTAAGCCTTTAATTTTGTCATCTACAATTTTTTTTTTTTTTTTGTGTGCTTTCAAAGGAGAATATTGTGTCTGAAGAAACCCTACTTCTTAGGGCAACCTCGAAGTCGTTTGAGTACTTTAAATGATGTATGTAGATATATGAATGAAGCTGAACTTACCATGCAAGCAGGAATTCTTAGTGGGGCTTAGAAGTGACAAGTGTACAACATATTTTTTTAATAGATTGCTCCCAACGATGTTTGGAAATCCAATATGTTATATTCCCTCCATCCCTAAATTATTGTGTAATTTAAATTTTTAGTTTTAATACTGGACAATGATTTCGAAACGAGGGAATATATAATTTTCCATTCTTGTCATTTTACCCCATCGTTCACACCAAACAAATTGTCTAAAACATAAATTAGCAGTAGATTTTTGTATACATCCATTTTCATCACATTAGTAGTATTCCATCTTACTTAATATTGTTTGATTGATAATATTAAAATAATATAATAAATTGAATAATCATTTTACAACATAAAAAATAATTTTCTTTAATTTCCTCAAATGACAAAATTGCTCTAGCTACTTCGCAAACCGGTTCCATATAAATATGCTCTCTGAGCCATAAACAAGGTCATACAGCTGGATATAGAATCACTTTTCTTAGTCATTTTTTATGGATCGTTTAGCCATCAAACCAGTAAAGCGGCTGGTATTTGGAAGATACTATCACATTATAGTATGGTGATGCAAATCAAAGCGGTGGACTTAAGTGTGTTTTTTCCTTTTCAAGTCGAGACAATGACTTGTCTCTTGGCATTGAAAGAGGCGTTGCATTTAGGGATCACTCGCCTTCAAGTTTATACGGATTGTGAAGCTTTGACCGGAGATTTACGGTCTGCTTTAATACCTTCTGAAGCCCAGGAGGTAGTTTCTTTGTTAGTAACTAGTATTTCTTTATTTCGGTTTTGCTCACTGATTAAAGTGAGTAGACAAGATGTTGTAGAAGTTCGTAATTTAGCATTCCATCGAATGCGATGTAATAAATCAGGTACTTCTTAATTAATATACATGTACTTTAAAAAAAAAAAAATCACTTTTCTTGAAAAAACTAAGCAAACAAACAAACAAATTACTGAAATTGGGTCTCTACCAAATAAAGATCCTATCATTCTTTCTCTGTTCTCAAATAATTCTTTTCTCGTTATATTGAAACACAGTAAATTAATATGTTCTCCTCGCTAAATGATTCTCATATTTCTAGTATACATAGTTCATTAACTTTGTAAACCATATGTGAATCCTTCGTTACCTAAGAAAATAAATTCATTACAGATTAATTTTATGCATAACTATAGCTAGCTACAAAGTTATGTTATTGTATGATCTTAATAAGAGATTACATTGTAGTATATATTTCTGTGCAGAGATTAATTAATTTGCTTAATATATTAGAATCAATACTATCTCCGCGATCTCATAAAAGAGTTATGTATAGTTTTGGCTGTCGACTATTCATATATATGTATATATTGTTAACAAGATGAGGTTATCAACAGAGTAAAATTATCCCTTATTTCACTGTAAAGGAACAAATTATCAGTCCCTCGCACAAGAGTCAAAAATGAAGAGAACTGACGGTAATTAGTTTGTTGAATTCCCAGAAAGGTTCGAGTATTCACAATACACTCTCTTCTTTTTTAAAAAAGGAGCTACAAATTTAAAATTTTTAATTAAATCGTCGAACTACGAATGAATATATTTATCAATGTTACTTTCTCTATACAGAAAATAAATAAACAAATAATAAAAATCTTATTCGTGAAACAAAAAAAAAATACAACAAATTGAATTACTATTATTTCTAGGACAAAAGAGAGTATTTCTTAATAACTAACATTCATTTACATGTACACTCATCTATTACTTCATCCATCCATGAAAATATTCTAATCTACTATCCGTTTTGTCCCAAAAAAATTGACAACATTAATCACTTTTGTGTGCTAAAAATAGTATAAGTCTCAAAACTTAATAAGAACTATTATTTTTGAAATAAAAGTAATGTTAAATAAGAACCATTTAATATAGTGAAGCAGTATTATCATATTCTCTTTATTCCGAAAAAAAATTAAAAAATATATTTCATATAATTAAAACAATACAATAAACGTTTTTTTTTTCTGGAGTGTAAGGAATATATTAATTTTCATAGATATGCATGCACCACGGTGAATACTCACCCCCACCACCGTTACCCGCCGCAAATATCTATCAAAAGGGGAACCTTACCTGCCACTACTTTAAATAGTAAGTGATCCAGTTGGCCGCCGATCGATCGTTTAGAACTTTCCATCAGCCGACCGGCCAAGAAAATGTAGCTGCGTTGCTGCGGTGCAAATCTTGCTCTGATGTCCTTCAAATCTCTGTATATATATTTCTATTATTATTCTCATCATTCTACCTTGTTTTTGTTTCTTTTTGCAAGCTAAAAAGACATCTCCCAAAAATATCATCCGAAAATGATTTGTATTAGCTTTCTCGATGAATGAAACTTATATTTGTTTCGTTGTTTTAATGTGTGTTTTTTTATTAGAAATGTGAAAAGGTATATTGGGATGGGACATTTATTATTAAAATAATTTAAAAAAACCATCCAAAAAATCAAACAAAACGGTGAGATACTTTTTAGAGAATAATGTGATAGTAACAAAGGCGGGAAAAAATTATTCTTCACTAATTTTTATGCTTGTTTTGGTTGAGTGATCAGCATTCCGTAATTTTTGTTTTTGCTTACATTCATTCATGCTTTGAATCATTCACTATGAAAAACGTACGAGAGTAAGTTTGAATGATAAATTTAAGAGTAAGTTGAAATTAAACGAAAGTGAGTGATAATTTTGAGATAAAAGTATCAATAAATAGAGATGATCAAATCGTATCGCCTAACATTCTTTGAGCAAATTTCTCTAAATTTTAGAACTCTAGATATTAAAATGGCGTGAAATTAACCTGTGCATGAATCTACCTACCTCAACTACGATTATTCCTAACAACTTAGCTAGTTTTGACTGGTTTCTTTTATTCTAGGGAAATAATAAAGAAACTAAATTTGTTTATTGTTTTGTATTTTTTTTTTAAAAAAGTTGAGTCTAATTTACATCCAACTGAATAATTCAGTCGCAACATATAGTATTGTCATTATTTTCCAACCCAAAAGTGGAAGTGTTCAGAAAGTTGTAATGTTCCCAGAAAACTCCAAAATTTACTATTGGCAGGATACGTAATTCCCTCGTGCACTTGTAAACCTTACTGAACGAATTTTTTTCTTTTTTCTTTTTTAAACAACAATCATAAGGCCATTTGGAATAATATGTCACACCCTTTATCTAACCCAAAGTTCCAAGCACATACTATATGAGATAATTTTAAGCGAGCACGAATTAAACCGAACAAGATTTTTTTTACCACCAGTTAATTTACATTGGATTCTATATAAACTTCCAAACGGCCACTGGGTTCTGTACTACTCTTACCCTTCACATTTCTTTCCTACTCTGTCCAAACCACCATAACCTCAACAAAGTTTACTAACTTCTGTTCTCAGAAATCTGTTCTTTTTTTTTTTTTTTAAATCAGAAATTTCATTTTTCGAGTGTCTTCTTCATCTGGGATTCCAGTGTAGTTTCATTTCCTTGCTGTTTCGACTTCAAGAAACTAGTATTTCCGTGCTTCATTCACTTGGCAAAATGAAGGACATTGCACACTTCATCATGGGTGTTTTTGGTTGGGTTTTCTTTTACTCTGCAACCCATTTTGCTGCTGATTTTCAGAATTTTAATCGAATTTCATTGTGCTAGCTGTTCTTTCATTTCTAACCCTTTTCTTTTTTTTGCTCTGTGCTTTTGATGAACAGGGAACGCCTTTGCTCTGTTCTTGTTCTTGGCGCCGTTGTAAGTTTTTAGCTCTGCTTCCCCTGTTTTTTTTTTGCCCCCCTGTTTTTGGACTGAAAGAAGTCCTGGAATTCTCCAGATTTGGCAGCTCTTTTACTAGGACTGTAAAAAGTGTTTTTTTCTAAATAAAGAAAAAAACTACTTCCAATTTTTACCTTGGTACGGTCTTCAGGCTGCCGGCTTTTTCATCCAATTATGTGCTCTTTCATTTTCTCAATTCTCCATTTTTCGTGAAATAGAGGGTTCAATTCAATGCTTTGTTAGAGATAATCCCCTTTCAGCATTGATTGCTGTTTTTTTTTTGTTGCCTACCGCATCGTTTTTCATGAACATGACAGATTTATTTTTTGTCCTTATCTTTACTAGTATTGCACAAATTACTACATTTCAATGTCTAGAAAAAATATAATCTAATTTGTTGAATAATAAAAAAAAAATCAACAAAAAAAGTAATGTACAATTTTCATTCCTCCAGTCGCAAAAAGTTCAACAAGTTGTATTAGTATTTTTCTTGGACGCAAGAAATATTGTCTTGCTTTGAAGTTTTGAATCCATTTTTTCTTTTTCTTTTTTTTTCGTTTCAAAAATAAACGAGAATAAAGTAGCAAATTGTGACTAAATTTCGTTTAATCTTTTCCTTGTCGTCCTGGTATACTGTAGGATAACATTCAGGAGAATCGTCAAGAAGAGAAGTACAGAACAGTTTTCAGGAGTTCCTTATGTCATGACTTTACTCAATTGTTTGTTGTCTGCATGGTAAGTTGACTTAGACTATGCAGCTTTCATCTTCCACCTACGTCTTCTTGAAATTTCTTGTAATAAAGTGAGCTAAAAGAGTACTATTAATTATGTCATGAGGCAATCATTAACAAATAATCAAGTGCGTTTATTAAATTAAGTAATAAGACTATTATTACTCCATCTGCTCCTTATTATAAGGTATTTTGATTTCGTCCTAATTTTCACATATGATGTCTTTTTAATTGAAATAAAAATTTTAAAAACATTTCATAACAATTACGAGAACACAACGAATATAAAAATATATTTTTAAGGTTTTTTTCTCAATTAAAAAGACATCTTAAGTTAAATTTAGGACGAAATCAAAATGTCTTATAATAAAGACCGGAAGGAGTATAAGATAAGACACAAGGAGAGTATCACATGTTCAACGAGTCCAAAAGAATATATATGATGTATAATGTATTATCAATACCGTTATGAATAAGACATTAGTATAGCATCCATATTTGTAGCTACAAGATTTTTCAACATCGCTATGAATTTTGTGGATAATTTCATTCATTGATCTCATTTTGATATTTTGTGACGATAAAGTTGTAAAATGAAATCCTAGACAATAATATTATGCTATATTGAACTACGAATTTTAAAGTCATGAGCATCGAATTCGATTATTATTCATAAGTTTAATTAATTTTGATCATCTTGAATCATTGAACAGGTATGGTATGCCTTTTGTATCTCCACACAACTTGTTGGTGTCAACAATCAATGGGACTGGTGCCGCAATTGAGTCCATATATGTGATAATTTTCTTGATATTTGCACCAAGGAAGGAGAAAGCGAAAATCTTTGGCCTCTTTGTTCTGGTTCTAAGTGTGTTTGCAGCTGTAGTTTTCATTTCACTATTTGCTCTCCATGGCCAAAGCAGGAAGCTGTTTTGTGGTTTAGCTGCGACCATCTTCTCCATTGTTATGTATGCTTCACCACTCACAATCATTGTAAGCTCTCAAACACATGTACCCTTAATTTGTTTGTCGATTCGTGATTCGGGTTTTTTTTTTCAATGTGTCAAAAGATCATTATAGACTTTCAAAGTGGTTAAAAATGATTGTAAGAATTTTGTCAAATTTTTTGCAGAGATTGGTGATCAAGACAAAAAGTGTGGAGTTTATGCCATTCTTTCTGTCCCTGTTTGTCTTCCTGTGTGGTACTTCATGGTTCATATTTGGCCTTTTGGGAAAGGATCCTTTTGTTGCAGTAAGTACATATCATTCTCTTCGCAATATTTTGTTGCTATTTTTTTTTTTTTTTTTTTTTTTGAAACTGTATATATTAATTTAAAGTACCTAGACTTTTACAACCTTGTTTAGCATAAGTTAGTCCTTCATTAACATTATTCCTACTAACCTAGTTTACATTTTGTTGCTAGTTATTTATGAATGAAAAAATTTTTTGTGGTAGGAATTTTAGAGTGAAAATTGTTGAAGGAATGAACTAGCAGGATCCATTTGTCTCCTTCTTTAGTATAGTGGGGAGATTTCTTGTCAACATCACTTAGCCTAATCAAAGCCAGATGTTTCTTCAACGTTTAAACCTTTTCTATAAAGTTTAACCCTTCACTCAGGCCCTTCTAGATACGATAGCACTTTTTATTTTGTTCCTTTTTGGATTATTTGCTTACTAGCTATGTTGAAAAAGATCAATAGTGATTTCTCCACGCTGACCTAATTCTATCGAAAACTTGAAAAGCGTCTTACTATAGTATGATTTATTAGATCATGTTTATTTTATTTTTAATGTTTTAATCAAGAATGTGGTTCTTGTTTTTCAGATTCCAAATGGCTTTGGATGTGGATTAGGAACAGTGCAACTGATCCTGTACGCAATTTATCGCAACAACAAAGGTGAATCCAAAAAAGAAGCTTCTGATCAATCTGTAGAGTTGAAAGATCATCTGAAAAATGGCAAGGCTCAACAATTTGGAGAGAAGGAAGTTGGACAAGTGTAGCTTGATTAATTTGTGCCGCTTCTCCTAATAATTAATTAAAATGTCCCTTAATTTACCCTTTTCTTAGTACTTTTGCTTGCTAACGACGACAATGCAATTTTTGATGTTGTTTTGTGTGACATTCATGTAAGTGTACTATTATGAGTGGATGTTAAAAAGTTGTGGCTTCTGCAAGGTTTTTTGCAGTTCAATTACGTGTGGATTTGCTCGTCTCATTTCGTAGCATTGTCCGATTCAGTGGGTTTTGTGGCACAAATTAGGTTTTCAATTTTGATTAGATTTGATGAAGTCGAAAAGGACGTGAGTATCAATAGCGCACTATATCTGGATTCTGGATGGTAGCTTCTTTCTACCTTGTTCTCATTCTCTCCCTCGTCACGATTATCATTTTAAGACTGATGGTTTAATTTGGGATTGAAAGAATATAATAATTTAAAGACGATTATTTTAAAATCGAAAAAGTGTATAGTTTTTCTGGTGACAAATATTTCAAGAAACAATTCCAACAATCGCCAATAAGTTGTGGATCTACTATCTTAGTTTGTAGTTTGTGGACTGATTAGATTTTACTATTTACAAAATTCTTTTTCATATTTTTGTAGATTTTTTATGGGTTACAACTTACAATCAGAATATCTACAAAAATTCTATAGATTTCTAATGCGTTAAGAATTGAGTAAAAAGTAAAATTAAAAAAAAATTATCGCTCTCTTTATTGGAATAATTCATAAAATGCAAAGAGGTAAGTTGAAATTTCTAACTACTAATAACTATTCTCAAAAAGATTCATTTCAAAAAAAAAATATATATTCTCAAAATAATCACTTGAATATACCTAAACTTGTTCTTTGACATAGCTTGTGTAGAAAGAAATTGTGGATTGGATTGATCCAATTTCAAATTTTGTATTATTTAGTAAAATCTTAAAGCATAACTTATATCAATTTGTTGTATCATTCGACTTTTATTTTCATCGAAATTCAAAAAGATTACATTAAGGCATAAATGTATTGATTGATTTCGTAGCGTGTCAAAAAATTTCAACTTTAGATTTATATTGTAGTATTTTGTTTTAGGAAAAAAAAAGGTAATATAATTCTAGTATTAATTAGTAAAATTATTCTTTAAAATTATAGAAAAATTTATTGAAAATGTATTAGAACAAGGGAATTAAAAAAAATTTAAGAAAAAGAAAAAAAAATGAATAAATAAATTCAACTATCTCTACACTTCTGAGTCAACAAATTAAATTAGCAATGTTAAAGCCCACTTTCATTTATGGGCTTTCATGGGTCATCAGCCCAATGTTTTGCCTGTTCTCCTGTGACTACGGTCGCGACCCACTTTGATATATGGCTTTCATGGGAACGTCTAATTTAGGTATGTTTGTTTCGTTTTTTTAATGTGTATTTTTAGATATTTTTTGAATTGAGAATATAAAAAAATGTATTGAAAATATAAAAAAATATATTAGGATAAGACATTTATTATTTTAATATTATAAAAAAACCATCCAAAAAACAAAACAAACAAAGTCCTGAAAGACTTTGAGGTGAAAAACAAATTAATAATTATTTCAGAATGGAATAAATAACGAGTAATGGCAGAGTCCATGACAATTTCCCAATTAATTCATAGCAACAAATGTATCTACTGAAACTTCTTCTTTTTTTTTTTTTATAATCAACGTGTTTTTTATACACGTAAATTTCCACACCATTCCAAATGGGATCGATCCCTAAATTTTTAAAAGATCAATATAAAGTTTGACCACCAAATGAAACTTAAGCTGAATAGTATTATATGAGTTTAATGTTGTTGTTGCATTAAGAACTAATACTCTCTTTGTCCTTAAAAAAAATTATTGAACTAAAACAATGTAATAAAATAAATTAGTTTTTGAGACGAATAAAATAATAATTAATTTAAACTCTATTTGTTAATAGCATGGACTATTTCTTTGAAATAAAATTTTTGCAATATTACATTATCTCTGTATATTTTATAATTGAGATGAACATCATTACTCTAAAATAAATGCCTTCTCCTTATGGATTATGATACACACACAAGTGGATCTAAAATTGATTATTTATTGTAAAAGGAATCTTGATCTTCTTTAAAGGTCATATCCAACTGTCCAGTTGAGTAACTGACCTCTTAACGGCCATTACACCAGCTAATTAATCAAGTTTCATTGATGTATCTTGCAATGCAAAAATAAGTAGTCCTCTAAATTACTACTTATCCTAAAATGATCGTTCTTTCTGCTATTAAAAGAAAAAATAGTACTTCTTTAGTGCCGAAATGATAGTCTAATTTAAATTTTCATTTTTAGTACAAATTGAACTAGAAGTAAAAATTCGAACTGCATAATAATTTTAGAATATTGATAGCATATAAAAAAATATATATACTCCCTCGGTCCTAAAATACTTATCTATTTGAGTTTTGATTTTTAGTATTATACTAGAACTAAAATTCTAAACTGGACAATCATTTGGAACAAAGGAAATACTAATTATTTAAATACAATTTCACAGTCTCAAAGTTTGTTTTTTCTAAAAGAAAAGAAAATCATTTGACTACCCAAAACCTTTTCCAGGAGATAACAAATTATTGAGCAGTAAATTAACTCTATATATTGAAACACAATATTTATCTTAAAATAATTATGTTTACACTCTACTATGTACTCTCTTTATACAACTTTTCATAACCAAAATTTTCAAAATAAATATGAAGATTAAAACCAAGTTAAATAAATACAGTCCCTACTTCGTCCAGCAACTACTACTCTCTCCGTCCCAAAATTATTACCCAGTTTAGGATTTCAATCTTAGTACAATTTGAACGAAAAATACAAATCCAAACTGGATAATAATTTTAAGACGAAAAAGAATAATATATATTTCTTCCCTTTAAAAAACATAAATAAAAAAACAAATAACATTAGAACAAGGTAAATTACTTTTTTGGGTAGTGCTCACCGCCGTTAGTTTCATCATTGACCCTACGTTACATCAATGGAACAATTTGCATATAAACATGGTCATGTCGCCTTTAAGAGCATCATTATGCTATGTGTGATGTATGTATGTATCATGTATGTAAGTATAATTGGCATGATGATGGCATACATGTAGTTAGTTACGCCGGTTTCGGGAAGGGACCCGTTAAGTTTTCGCTTCTTCTCATAAATAGAATACGAATTATTATCTTGGTACACATGATCAGCCTTTAATCATTATTAGTATTAATTTTATTTTTCTTCCCAAAAGACTAATTAAATACGAGAATATTTTTCAGTGAAACCGGATCCACCTATATATTCTCGGATCCCCTATGTCTTTTAATATACTCTCTCTGTTCTGAAATTATTGTCAGTTTGGATTTTCAATTTTAGTTCAAATTATATTAAAAATAAGAACTTAAATTACACAATAATTTTAGAATAGAAAGAATATATTTTAATATAAGAGGTGTGTGGACTAAAATCTTGTTTCTTCTTTTTATTTTTCTATTCCCTATAACCGTCACTTTTCAGTTTCAATTCATCTCTTCCATTTTTTTTTTCTTTACAAGCACCTATTTTCATATTTTGAGTTAACTGCGATGGGTTTTTTTGTGCAAATTTAAAAACATATAAAACTTTAAAATGATTTTATCTCTTGATCGATAAATAATTATAAAATTTGTTAATACATAATTTATAGTACTCGTCAAGATCTATACAACGAATTACATATTAACTATTTTTAGAAATTTTATAATTATGATTAGGCTAGGGTCTCATACTAACCTATTTTAACTAACCTGTTTTAAATGCATAAATTCAAACCGTCCACTCGGCGTTTAGGGTTTAGGGGGATTTAAGCACCACCTTTGACGGTTAGGATAGCTACGAGAAAGAAATTCCTTTACAAAATATCTATAGGAACTTTAGTTATATGTTGTTGGTACTTCAAAAGATAAGCACACGGATTTTGAAAATATATTGTTGGAACTTGATTAAATTATTACATGAACTTTGGAACTTCCAAACCACAGGAACTTTCAAATTAGATTGTCGGAACTTCGATAAAAAATAAAAATTTTACAGAAACTTTAGAACTATGTTGAAATAATTTCAAAAAATAACCACAAAGACTTCAAAACTATATTGCTCTAAACTTCAATAATATAATTTCAAAGCTCCTATGGTTATTTGTTTTATCCTTCAGCAATGTAGTTACAAAGTTCCTATGGTTATTATTGTTGTTCCAAAGTTCCCGTGGTAGTCACTTTTTTTTTTATGTGTGTATTTAGACATATAGTTTTGAAGTTCTCTCGTTCTTAGTAATTGAGGTTCCGGTAATAATAATTTGACGTTCCAACAATATATTTTCAAAGTTTCCGTAGCTATTTTCTGAAATTCCAGTAATATAGTTCAAAAGTAGACACATTACATTTATAAGTAGAGACACTAAAAAATTTAAGACTATAAATTAATAATGATAAAATTTAGAAAAAAAAATATTTAAGATGGATCTCGTTGGATAGATCTCGACGAGCACCATAAAGTACATATATAACATGTTTTAAATTTTTGATGGATTAAGAGATAAAATCATTTTAAAATTTTAGATATTTTTGAAATTAATAAAAACCTCCAACGTAATCTAGAGAAATTATAAAAAGACCCACAAACTTTTTTACAAATCCCAACGCAGTCTTTAAATAATAACACATGTCAAATTTTGGGAATGGTTCCATCACTTTACTAGTGGATCCGGGTCCAAAGAAGAATTGGCCATTAAATACAACTAGATGCTTGTCCCGGGCAAATGCCCGGGGCGTCCTCCCACCTAATAAATTAATATGTAAATAATCAAAACTAATTAGGAATGAATTTAGTTTTTGATGAAGATAATTGATTGATCGAAAATTAATTTTTTAGAAAGTCCTAAGTAAGTGGAGAAGGAAAGTTCCATTCACTGTCAAATTCAAAATTTGAATGAACATGGCCATCTGATCTCTTCGTTAATATTGTAAATATATTTTTTGTTTTTAAAAGGAGGTGACACGTGGCAGAATGGTTTATGCAATATGGTGCATTTGGAGCCAAAACCTTTTAATAAGAAATTGCCACATCAGCATCCTGTTTTCTGCTTTAATAGGGTAAAAGGGATATATTTTTTGTTTTTAAAAGGAGGTGACACGTGGCAGAATGGTTTATGCAATATGGTGCATTTGGAGCCAAAACCTTTTAAT